AACTCGATAAAAAAATAAAGCAACATGACCTAAGAGTTTATTTCCAGCGTTATTTTAGTTATTTGCATGTGAAACTTGTTATATAGGACTTGGGAAATGTTTCATAGATATTTATTTATTTTGTTGATGGAACTAAAAAATTCTAATGTTGGGATGTTTGAATAATTATTTAATTAGTAACGATCTAAATTATTAAAATTTGGGTTGTTACATGGGCCATAATCCTCCGACTTGCAAAAATGCTCTACACTATTTGACAAATAAATTGAACATTTTTGTTTAACTTAATCTTGAAATTGTGATAAATTATGATAATTTTTGATACATTGTGATGATTACCCGATAAATACTTATAGCTATTTTAGGAAGATTTTTGATATATATGACAACATCATTGTTTGTTCATACCACACCAGTATCTAGTTGTTTTAAATGTATGGGGTGCTATTTTTACTCATTTTGTATTCATTTTTGTTTATTCACGTTTGTTATGAATGGATGGATGTTAATTGTTCAATTTAATCTTCATATTTTGATGATTTTTTGATAAATTCTGATAGCTTTTTCAGTTAGTTTTTGATAAAAATGATAGCAGCACTATTTGTTCAGACCAAAACGGTACCTAATCGTTTTAAATGTACAAGAGACGTTTCTACTCATTTCGTGTTTGTTTCGGTACATTCAAGTTCATAACCACTTGAAAGTTGAAGGACGAAAGTTATAATTACATTTCGACGTTACGAATAACACATTTGTCCAAATTATAGCGAGTCTTTCCGTAATTTGATTGGAACATACACTATACTATACTTCACTTGATAATAAAGAAAAACGTAAGTGGCAAATGTATTATGCAAAACATAGCACGTGTAGTCGTTCAACGTGTGCAAGATGTGTATGATGTTTCAAACACTGTTTTACTAGTTTCAGAGTGAAATTGATACCTCTTGACCCAAAACGGCATCTGGTCGATTTAAATGTATGAGCAATGTTTCTACTCATTTCATGTTCATTTAGGTGCATTCAAACCCGTAACCACTTGAAAGTTAAAGGACGAATGTTCTAATTAAGAACGCATCTCATATATTCGCCTTTCATTTTTCCTCTCTAAAGTCTCTACCATTTATACTAATTGCATTCTTAATTCTCGAGCGAACTCATCTCAAGATGGATAAAGAGATGGACATGATGTAGACAGCCTAGATGAAATGTATAAGCATCTGTAGAAGTAGGTAGCCTATGAAAAGAAGATGGATCCTGAGGAGATCTAGAGGCATCGGGAGTCTAACAAGTTTGCCGAGGAAAGTCAACACGAACAGACAATTCCGTTCCATTTACATTATCCACAAATATATCAACACTTGGATCCTTTACGTCATCCTTGAATCGATGAATCTCTGTCTAATATGCTTTAGAAGCCTCTTCCTACATAGGCTTCAGTGTGCAATGAACGACAATCTATATAAAAATGAAAGGTCCACTTGCTTTTCATAAAGTAAACTATATATTTTAATATACATTTAAGATCTCTGTACATTTGGTTTGTCCAAACTTGTACAAATGTCTTTGGACTTAGGCATTTCAGAAGAATTCCATTGACATATTCTAGGGAGGTCAGCCTCCTCTAAATTGTCAGCATATTTCCATCCAACAGATGGTATGGTTTCATAAGTCCAAATCTGTATAAGATTCAAAATATTACAATTTAAATAAAATGAATAATAAATTGTAATTTTAAAAGCTTGCAAGGCGAGTGGAAATCCATAAATTGAATATGGATATTTCTCATTATTTATCAAGTATGACTTTACCAAAAATCTATATTCTCTCGTGAATACATCTATTGTACGACCAAAAGCCTTTCTCTCCCAAGAATAACTATTAAAAACCTCTAACTCTTCATCAACTATTGACAAGTGTTCTAAATTTATTTATGTGTAGTTTTCTTTGGGCAATAGTATCGTTTTCAAAATATATAGAAGCTCAATCTTGTACTTGTCGTCCATGTAGACTTTGTGACTTTCAATAGCTTCAAATTGTACACCGTTATGTCTTTCTTACACTTTTTGAAGTGTTTCTTCACCAATCTATCATTAGTCACAATATGAGACTCCAACGAAGGCTCTTCACTCGCTCTCAACCCCATTATCAATGAGAATTCATATAATGAAAATCATGTTGGCTTAACACCAATTGAAAACCAGATCTCACTTTATTCTTTTGGTTACAATCATTCTCATTACATGTTGGTGAACTAGCTGTGCTGAAAAGGTATATGCTTCATTCAATATAGTTTTCCGAAACAAGATTCCATCAGCATTTCTTGATGAACATCATCTAACATTTCCTGAACATAGTCAAGTTTTTGAAGGGAACATTTTTGTGAAGGCATGCCTTTAATTCTATCTTCAATGTGAATCACATACTCAAATGAACGTTCCATTTCTTTAATAAAAAACATAAAACGGTCATGCTATGTTATCAATGGACAATTATGAAGATTTTACAATAATGCTAAGTGATACTTAGTACAATCCATTTTAAAAAAAGATAAACGGTAAGGTGACATTTTCAGAATTACATAAACGAGAGGGTGTCATTTTCAGATTTGTTTTTACGTACATACTAAACTATTTAATTTCAAATCATTGGACCAACTTTCTTTTTGTTCATCTAGAGCAATTTTGCAGGAGCTTCTTAGAGTTTTAAGAATTCCTAAAGAAGATGTAAAGATTTCAGTTAGCTACCATCATTCTGCTGTAATCACGAGTTTCCACTAAAACCTTCAAGTTTTTGCGTAGATTTTAGTTTTCTGAAACTTTGGATCAATAAGCTATAGAAAACTCTAAAAAAGATTAACCAAATCACCTAATAATTAACATATTGAAAACCCACATTTCCATTAGCACTCAAAGAAAAAAACTAGCTAAATAGTAGGGGGGGAACCATGAATATTGTCCGGTGCGAGTGAAATTTAATCGAGGTCGGACTTTGAGTTTTCAACCATGAATTCAATGATGGTTAAAATATAAACTAATATCATGACAATATTAAAATGGCATAGTTTATGAATTAATATTATTTCTTGCAAATTTTCAACCAACTATGCTCCAACCAAATAACTATCAAACTCATGACAAGTGCATTTCAGAATGAAAATTAACAATAGAAACGTATGAATTTTTATACGTTAAACTTGAAAACATTTTATCAAAAATAAGTTATTAAGTGAAAGAAATGATAAAGAATAATAGTAGCACCTTCTAGGTATAAGATTTAGTCCACGACACGCAAAGAACGTATAAGTTTGACACAATTTCAATGATCAACTTAAGGTGAACTGGAATATTGCCTAGTCCATGTGGGACTATAGGACAGATATTTTCATAGTTACACATTAATTAAAGGCTTGAAATATAGACAAGGATCTAGATATTGCAAAGTCTATACAAGGAACAAACTCAAGCAAGGAATCATTTAAAAGTGACTAACCAACACATGAGATAGAAAACGCCCCCAGGGCATATCTCCCAGTGGCAAAGGGGAGGACGGATAGGGCTCAGCGCGGCAGTGTGCAGAGTTCGATTCCCCGCAAGGTGGAATTGACTTTGTTGCAAGCGGGAGTTACCATATGGGTTAACAGCCTTGGCCTATTCATATGCTCTCCACCCTGGTTCCTGGGAGGCACATCCTGCGATTTACCTCCTCCACAATGGCCCAGGACAGGGTCGGTGAGGGCCCTTAAGGTTGGGGTTCAACCTTTTTTAAAAAGAAAGACATTGCACTGTTGTCTGACACTATCTTAAAATGTGCTTTCTTCAATCATTCATGAATTCCCAAAATAAATGGACTGTTCATGGCTATTCTAAATAGGATACAATAACAAGAAGTTAACATATCGAGAAACCCACATTTTCTACAAAAATTCGCACAAATCTTAGCAACAAGAAAATTGATAAAACCTTCATACATGAGGATAGACAACTGAGACATTGGTTCCTTGAATGGACTGTTCGCAACGATGGTTGTTTGCGCTGCATGTTGTTCGCGATAGGGGGTGTTCAAGGTGGAAGCTGTTTCCCTGTGGTGGTAAGATTTGAAATAAAAGAATAATTACTCACTAACTTGATTAGAGAAGAAGACACAGAAGAATATGCATAGAAAATGCAAAGAACGGCAGTGATGTTACAAGCATTTATGGCTGAAACACAACCAAGAAATTTATTAATTTGACTAACCCAATCCAAACGAACGTGAACAGGAGGAAGAACGAAGCAAATAGTAGGAAGGGAAGAAGATGAGGTTTTTGAATTGGAGAAATAATTGGTAATTTGATTTGTCTTGTTTTGTTTTTCTTTGAAGTTATTTTGGACAACTAAATATTTTTCAAATTAAGAGATTTATTTTAATTCCAATATTCTGGTCAATGGCTAATCTCACAAAGTAACTTTGGAGAAAAGGCTATCTCACCCGATTTCCACTTAAAAGTTTGTTAAATAAAAAGAGGGGAAATGAAAAAAAAAATGTCAAAAATAAAAGTTAATTAGTATTAGTATTAGTATTAGTATAAACTTCTACGAATTTAAGCAATTATTGACTTATCATTTATATATTCATTCAGCGATCTCAAAAAAATTTATTATCTTATTTATTTAACGAGATTATCAATTTAATACATTGGACCAAGTCAGGACCGAAAAATTTTATTATTTAAGTGAGATTACTAATTTATCAAACGTTTATTTATCGAAATTTTACTGTATTTAAAAAATTTCTTGGAGATGCTCTTAGTAGATAATTATCGTCCAGTAACCAAGGTTCCAAAGCAAGCAATTCTTTTACTTGTAAAGACTCCACCCCTTTTGCCCAAGTTCTCCAGTCTAATACAAACTAATTATGGTCAATAGACTATAGCCATTCCCTGGACATTGAGAATAAAATGCAATCACTCCATCCTCCGGATAATGAATTCTCTTCAAGAGAGATCATTCAAAAGAGTGTCTAACATGAAGGCTGAATCATCTTTATTCAAATACGCCATAGAAACAGGATGAGTTATGCCATTTTTACAACCTTCAGTTTGGGGTAAACTGTAACAGACACACAAGACAAAATACTCCTATTCAGCATCGATTGCCTTTTCACCTCGCTCGTTTTTCTCTTCAGCAATATGAAAATTGTCGATTTGCTGAGCAACCTCATCAGCTGCATCCTCCGCGTTCTGAGTAGGTCCATTAGAAGAAGTGTCCTGTTCATTATGAGTCAAGGGTCCAGTCTGCCATATCCTGATAGTCCCATCTTCAGAACCCGAAGCATAGGATTCACCTCCGGGAGAAAATCGAACACAGTGCACTGGACCGTGGTGACCTTTGTTGCATCCTGTTACGAAAAAAATAAAAATAAAAATCAGACCAAGCAAGGCGCAACAGCTTAGGCGATAACCTTTGACAAGGAAACCTTGGGAAACAATGAGAGGCTGGATCCATGAAGGGACTAAGTTCAGTGTCACCTTAAAAAAGAAAATAAATGTTGGAGAAGGGGGGGGGGGGGGGGGGGGGGGGGGGGGTGAAACTGGCATTTACAACACTCGTATAATTACTAGGAACACAGAAAAGGAGCAAGACTTGGGGTTAAAAGTCAATATGGAAATAGATTCAGCAGCTACTCTCCTACCCGACAAAAATATAATCAAGAGGAAAATTGAAAAGTGGAGACATGGAAAAATTAAAAAAAATTCCAAAGGAAATAAAAGTCCAAGTCCAGTAAATCAAGGCACTAAATGATGTAGTACAAAAATTCTGATAATGAAAGGAATACAGGAACTCACCAACTTCTGCACCAGTGTGAAAATCAAAAACACGAACCCACATGTCTTCTCCTCCAGCAACGAACTTATTACCATACGTTGGTTCCAATGAAGCTGATTCAACAATGCAAGGCATATTGTAGCTTTTCACCAGTCCAAAGCTGTTGAATCACACATCATTATGGATGAAAACCAAGACACAAACATAAGCTATGCTCAGAGATTTGCTCACAGAATTAGAAAGGGGAAGGGAAGGAGGTTGAGGAGGGAGAGATATACTGATTAGCATCCCAAAATTTGACAGTTGATCCATCAGCGGTAGTTATATAGCGCCCATCTTGACTCACTTCAGCGCTGGTTACTGAAGACTTGGTCTCAAGTGTCCGAAATATTTTGCCAGTTCTTACATCCCACAACCTAAGCCATCAGCTCAAAATATTAGATTACAATAATGCAATGATGGAATCTGAAATTCCAGAAATCAATATAGAAGTAACAGAAAATAAATGGATTTGACCATGCACAGAACATCTCTTGATATCTTGATCCTAATGAGAAATCTGAAAATTCGTTAGGCCAGGAGTTCAAGAGTGCAAATATAATAGTTGGGAAGTTGCCAGTTACTAAAATTCGATCAAATGGTTCAATGAGGAAGGTCTAAATCTAGAAGTCGCTAACAGTTGACCAAAAAGAAAAAAATTAAAAGAAAAGGGTCCAATGCAAACTCAAGCACTATACGTAGGTTGCATCAGTCATTGATCAAACACCCGCCAAATTCAGCCACGTAAAATAACTTTCCATGCCAAAAACTAGCACAGATAAAGACTCTTTTCTTCGATTTTCTGCTAAAAAGCAGCCTATGTTAAAACCAGCCACCTGAGGATACAATGTTTTATGGTCCAATATCTTGAACATTTATATTAAGCTTCAAGTATCACGTAAGATTGGAGATACATCAGAAACTTGAATACTATCACATGAACAGATGGGGCATCGCTATTCACCTCAAAATGCAACATATACTACTGAAATGTTTGAAACAAAAAGCAAGATTTAACAGAAGTAACTTAAACTACCTATGGGAAAACAAATAACATCAAACTCAAATTCTGTGTGCATACCTAACCCCTCCCATATCAGTACAGGTACTTAAGATAGTTTGGTCACTGTGGAGCCAAGCAAGAGTTCTAACTGAACCAGGAGAATTCTCAACTTCCCTGGGAGGAGCATCCAGTCGATTTAAATCAAATATGCGAAGAACTTTTTCAATGCCTCCAGTTAACAGAAGCTGAGTATCCTGTAAAATTGATCAAATAATTTAATCCATTCATATCTGTCAAAAGAAAAAATAAAACTAACCAAAGCATAGATCCAATGCCACATGATAAATCAACAGTATTTATATGTTGATAGTAAATTGATTGTTGTTAAAGTCGAGTTGGTGAATCTATTTGTTTAAACACTGATTAAATGTCAACCTGGCACCAGACTTATTCAACTAAAGCAGAATTTGACAGACGGACCTAATAAATCTAGGACTTCTCAGCTCATATGATGAAGTCATTGATATCAACGTTAGTAACTTGCAAAAATAGGAAACTAATACAAAACCACTTGACAATTAGGAAGGCATTTATCAAAAATTAAAATGTCCAGAAAAGAACTTCTGGATAAGGTACTTATATTTAAGCCCTATTTGATTCTCATTTTTCTCAAAATACATTTTTCTCTCTCTTCTTTTCAACCTCACATTTTTCATTCAAATAATATTATACGTAAATAAAAAACTTTTCCTTATTTTCATCCACATATTCTCCATCAATCTACTATTCCAAAATTCATTTTTTCATAAAAATGGATGCCAAACACTCTCTTAAGGACCTTCAATCGCCAAGCAAGATCCAGCCCTAACAAAAGCAGATTATATTACATTGTACACCTTCATAAACCATAACTGAAATTATGGTACCCTACTAATTTGCTTTGCATTTTGAAGACTAAGCATTTGGTTGGGGGGGGGGGGGGGGGCAGGAACTAATTAAAACTCATTTTACCAGAAGCGAATTGGCCAGCATTAACATCTTGAATCATTTTAATCTTTAATACATCGTAAAACAAGATTTGGCTCTTCCATTCACTTATATTAACGTTTTCCGTACTATCTGACCATCCCAAGAGCCATGCAATTGAATTAATGAACATTTGGATGACTTTAACATCCAAATCAGCTGGTACAGCAGGAAATAAAACACAATTTAATAATATGACTTCCTCATAAAAAGTCCCAACCAATTGAAGAGATTTACATCATAATATCCTCATAAAACTTGAAGAGACACAAAGCAAAAATCATTCAAACATTTAAAATGAGCACCTCTGAGAAGGCACAAGCACGAACTATATGCTTATGCTCGAAAGAATGCAGTTCATCTCCAGTTAAAGCATCCCATAATTTCCTGCAAACAAAGCCCACAAATATTAGTAAGGAATAATCCCATTAAAGGTGCCATGCCAAGAAACGTTTACAGGTTTCAGAGAGCATGTACTCGCAGTTTGTTGCTAGTCAACATCATCAATCCTAGGGTAAAAAAAGAGAATCCAATGACACGTGGATCAAACTTTACCAGCATTGATTTGATAATAGCTCTTAACAGAAATGTTACAAACATAGATCTATAGATGGAAAATCTCAATTTAATTAAAGAAGAAAGACACTGAAATAACTAGTCACATACGCCGAAAAATCAGCAGAAGCAGAGGCAGTACGCAGAGCATGTTTATCCAGGCAACAACTCCATACCGCACCTTTATGCCCTTGAAAGGTTCCAATCCAATCTCCGGTCTCTCCGTTTCTTAACATTGGTGTGGAATCTGAGGAAACAAACACAACACAAACAATTAGTGACTTGAACCTAGTACAAGTATATATTATCAGAACAGAATGTATTTCATACACAGACAAAAGTGCAACTAGTTCATTTATGGAAATTGAACAACAATGCACACGTAAAATGAATCTATGTGCCTCAACACTCTCCCTCATATTTTTTTGCTGGTACAGCACTTGTGCTATAATATATGTTAATGTCATATTTATATGGATTTTCATTGATCACCGGTCAACTAAAAACATGACCCAACATATTATCTAATTCAGGTCATTTCATGTTTTATTGTCTTCTACAAAATGAAAAAAATTAATATATGTATTTAATGTGTATCATGTTGCTTCATGACATGTTCCTCTCCACTTTGAATAATTACTTATAGCTTTCGGTTGATCAGTATGAAAGATCAAGTTTATCCCTTCTTCTTAGAAGACTGCAGTTATCATTGTCTATTGTAGGAAAGATACGGGTTGCACAAAGCAACAAATAGACCACTGGGCAGCCATTGAGTTACAAATGTCTTAACATTTAAAGAAATCATTATTCACAAATAATAGGGCTTAACCACAAGAAACTGCATTATCACATCCAAGCTGAAGGACATGAGTACATCCGTTGATGCTACTAATGCAAAACATATATAACTGACTCAGATCCCAAAGATTACCACGTAATAATACTTTGTACTATCCACGTAAAACATATTTTTGTCGAGATTACAAAGAGTGCCGGTAATGCATCTGCCATTATATTTTGCCTTGCAATGACCAATTCAATTTGCAGGCCATGGTAGACCTTGTCCACCAGTTTAACTATTTATTTAGTTTTTCCATCTCTCATCAACTGTTTTAGCTGCTTTTTCAGGGATACGTTGTACATATACTTTAAAAAAATAACAATACTAACAAATAAATAAAAAATTACACCGTTCAAATCAGCATTGCAATTTCTGCTCTATGTGCAAAAATAATCTACCAGCAATCCTTAAAGAAAGCAACTTATTCACAATCAAGCTCACACATCACTCATAAATGTTATACATCTACAGCTCTGTTCATTAAGTGCTTGTTTGTGCCCCATTATTTGTTAATAATGTATTATGGAATAGCAATTGATGTTGAAATGTGTGGTTAGAAAAAGAAGCAAATATTTTTGATTCTCGTGTAATATTTTTTTAATGAAGAATGTGGGAGGATGATAGACAAACAAAGCCTAAGTCACTACATAAAGTCATTATATCATAACTCCAGAAACAGTATTCAATTATAAATCATCAGCGTCAGTAGGCAAGAAAACACATCTGAAAACCATAAAAAAAATACATCACGATCCAGACAAATTTACCTTTGCTAGCACTGACTAGGAAAAACCCATCAGGGGTGATAGGGCTGTAGAACAAATCGACAACTGGTCGAGAATGCCCATGGCAAACTAGTGGTGCAACAACTTTCTTCTTATCCATTTCTCACCGTTTCCAAATCCCAGAAACTACTTAAAAAAAGCAATTACTTTCGAGATATACACAAAAAGAAACTATCGAAATCAAGAATAAAAAAAACCGTAATCTCCGATCCCATAATCAAGAGCCCAAAATAATGACAAATGACACCAAAAATACGGACAGTTGTCTCATTTTTCAGATCAATTCTTTGAAGGTATGAAATATTACAGACTATAACAAGAAATTTCTACAGATCAGATATACATCAAAGGAGTATGCATAGACGAATATATTGGCGGCAATGAACACAGGTGGGAAACCCTAGCTGTAATAACGATCGATGCGGATCCACACCTCCTAACCCCAGAATAGATCAAATTTATAGTAATTTGGTAAAATTAGAACAGTAAAATCACTAAGAAAAAACCTAAAACTCCATAGCTACAAATACAAATACAAAAACAAAAAAACTTAGGTATAGGGCTAGGCGCAGGGAAGCTGAAACGCCATTTCTTTAGTATTTATATGGAGAGTTTCTCGCTTTTTCCATTTTTGTAATTATTCTAAATTTGTAGTCGTGTATTTGCAAGGATAGACCCGAAAACAACTGTGCTATCGGCAGAGACCCATTTGCACAAGATCTGTACAAGTACTGTGCCAAGAAACCTGTGCAGGGGACTTAATTCTTGTGAAAATTGTATGTGTGATTTGGAGATATTGTACTTTTGTCGTCTCCTAACTTTAAAGTACAGTGTTCCCAATTTGTTGACAACTCCTCGACTAGTTTACTTTTATCATTCTCTTAACTCTAATAATAATTAAAAATCACAATACTAATGTGTATTTTGAATTAGGATACAACTTTTGTTGCTATCTGAACTTGGACCATAATTTCATTTTGATAACTTTTCTTGTTTATCCTTCAAAATGGTCACTGATAATACCAATATTGCATACCTCGAGGATTGTTTTCCTCGAGGACTCCCTACATGCTCCGCCTCACTTTTCTGCCAAGAAGTCCTCGAGATATGTTAGTCCTCAGTCCTCGAGGACTTTACTCATACGACCATGAAAACTCACCTCTTACTGTCCTCGAGTTATTGTTTATTAAGCGATCCTCGAGATGTATATGCCCAACAAACAGACACCTAAACCTCCAAGGACTCTATATAAACTATAACACCACTAGTCAAACAATTCCATCACAAGTAGGACATTCCTCACAAACAAGACTCTATTGGATAAGAATATCCACCCGATTCCAATTTTATCAGGAATGTACTACCTATCCCTATAAATACAAACCTTGGACATTATTCAGGTACGTTTTTATTATTTTCCAGTTTATAGCCTCACGCATATAATTCCCTTTTTGACTTAAGTATCGGAGAGACGACAAGAACATACCTCGTTGCTTTTGTTTTAGGAACCGAAAGACTACGATCGCGCTCATTCAAAGTCCTCAAGCTCGGGAAATCAACAGGTGCAAATTTTTGAAGCATCATTGGCACCGTCTGTGGGAAACGCTACTAAAAGCCATGGTTAACACGTGATCAGGTCTTTCTCCAGCAAGCTCATCCGCTCCCATCCCCCATCCTACTGAAGATCAACTGGCTCCTTAAGAAAAGTCGTCAAGAGTGTCTGCACCTCAGCCAACAGTCGTCACAACTGAAGCCTTCAAAGAGCTACGTCAGCAGGTGGCCACGCTAACACAACTGTTAAGTCAAAGAAATTCGCATCCGTTACCAGTACAAGTAGAGCATGGTCGTTTTATGACTGATGCTCGAGCCCGACCACCCAACCCCGCAATTGGCGGAGTGGGATCTCGGGTATTCGTAATATGGCATCGGGCTCGAGATTGGTTGCTATGGATTCCGATGAGATTGCCCGAATCATTCAAGAAGGAATTACAGTTGGCTTGCAACGGAATGCTCGGGTTCCAACGAGTTTTACCCCTAACACTCCATTTATGTCAGAGATATTGTCATATTCCCTGCTTGATAGATTCAAATATTTTCGCATTAAAGAATATGATGGGATGATCGACCCAATCAACCATCTCAATGTATATACCGATGTCATGAATTTGCAGGTTGTGCCGGATCAAGTTATGTGCAAAGCCTTCCTGCAAATGTTAACTAGTGCTGTTAGGGATTGGTTCTCAATATTGGAGCCCAACACCATAGCCTCATTCTCAGATTTGGCTGATAAGTTCTCAGCTTTCTTTGCAAGTAGCAAGTGTATCAGAAAGACTGCAGCCTCTCTCATGCAACTTCGTCAGGGACCAAATGAAACCCTACGAGGATTTATGATGAGGTTTAACAAGGAAAGACTTTAAATACTTGACCTTTACATTACGACGACAGTTTTCGCTCTCACCTATGTCATAAGATGTGAAGCCTTCAAAATGTCCCTATCAAAGACCCTGCCATAGAAAGTGACCGAGCTCCTTACATGGGCTGAAAAATACATTAATATGGAAGAAACGCTGAATCTAAGGAGAACTGGTCCTTCTCATGAAAAGGTCGAGAACAAGAGACAACATGACATCATTTCCCGACCCGAGCATCATCGGGACAAGCGCAAGAATGAAGGGCCGCTAAGGCCTTTCACCGGTTGAACACAACAAAGGAAAACATTTTGATGGAGGTCAAGGATATGAAAGAGTTGAAATGACCTTCAAGAATGAAGTCGCCCCCTGACACAAGAGAAAAGAGCAAGTACTGTGAATTTCATCGAGATCATGGGCATATCACGAAGGGTTTTCAAGCATTGCAACGGGAAATTGAAACCCTCATTAAAAGATGGCTCTTAAGGAATTACATTGGTCATGATAAACGCTCGAGGAATGATCGTGACAATCGAAAAGAGACTTGAACCGGAAGTAGTGCTCAACCCACTGTTGGAACCATTAATATTATCATTGGAAGCATAGCGTCTGGAGGAGACACAAGTAGTGGGCAAAAGAAATATGCCCGCCAACATGATCATACCATGGGGGAATCCCGTAATAAACTCAAAGACATTACCTTTGGAGCAAGGGATTTGGAAGGAGTATCATATCCTCATGACGATGCCTTGGTCGTCTTTGCAATTGTGGCTAACTTTGAAGTAAAGAGGATTCTGATTGATAATGGGAGTGCAGCAAATATACTCTCACATGAGGCTTTCGCTAAAATGGGGATCTCTTCCAAATAGCTCAAAGCAGTCAAAACTCCTCTACAGGGATTTGGTGGTGGAGTCATTATCCCGGAAGGCATCGTCGAGCTTACACTTACATTGGGTTATGACAATGCACAAATGACGGAGATCATGCCCTTCCAAGTGGTTAACACTCCTATGGCTTACAACATCATCCTGGGAAGACCTCTACTGAATAAGATCCAAGCCGTTGTGTCAACTTTCCACCTAGCCATGAAGTTCCCAAAAAGTCATGGCATCGGAGTAGTTTGAGGAGACCAAATAGCTACTAGACAGTGCTATGTTACTAGCATACGAGGAATGAGTATAGACGTCATGCAACTTTTAGACCTTGACCTCGAGCCAAAAAGGAGACTTGCCCCGGTTGAGGAATCTGAAGTGGTCGAGCTTGAGCATGAAAAAATGGTAACAATTGGTCAGGATCTCAAGGCCAGCTTCGGGAAGAAGTCATCAATTGTCTGTCCCCCAACATTGATGTTTTTGTATGGAAGGTCGAGGATATGCCAGGGATAGACCCTGAAGTAGCTATCCATAGACTCAACATAAGTCCAGGGGCTAAACCTGTTAAGCAAAAGAAGAGGCAGTTTGCGCCAGAAAGACGTGTGGTCATTCAGGAATAAGTCGGCAAACTGGTGAAAGCGGGGTTCATAAGGGAAGTCCAATACCTCGATTGGCTAGTGTTATTTGTGTGAAGAAGGCCAATGGTAAATGGGAGGATCTACATTGAATTTACAGATCTCAACAAGGCATGCCCTAAAGATAGCTACCCGCTCCCCAGGATAGACAATCTTGTGGACATTACATTTGGACATAAGTTGTACAGCTTCCTAGATGCATTCTCAGGATATCATCAAATCCTCATGGCCAAGGAAGACCAAGAAAAGACTTCATTCATAGCTGATTCAGCCATATACTGCTATAGGGTGATGCCGTTTGGGTTGAAAAACACTAGGGCAACATATCAGAGGCTTATCAACAAAGTCTTTGCTGATTTAATAGGGAAGAATATTGAGGCCTACATTGACGACATGATGGTGAAGAGCAAAAAGGTAGAGCAGCACATATCTGACCTGGAAGATGTGTTCGCCACCCTACGAAAATATCGAATGAAGCTCAACCCAAAGAAATGTGTATTTGGTGTAGTTTCGAAAAAAAAATTTGGGCTTCATGATCACTTACTGGGGAATTAAAGTAAACCCCGATAAGATCCAGGCCTTGGCAGCAATGGAATCACCCAGGACTAAGAAAGAGGTGCAAAAGTTAACAGGTAGGGTAGCAGCCCTTAACAGGTTGATGTCCCGAGCAACAGACAGGTGCTTTCCTTTCTTCAAAGCTCGCAGAGACAACCAATCATTTGAATGGAATGAGGAGTGTGAGAAGGCTTTTCAAGAGCTCAAATAAACATTGGCATCTCCTTCTATCCTCAATAAACCTGAGCTCGGGGATACTTTATTTTTGTACTTAGCCTTGTCTCAAAACACAGTGAGCGGCATCTTGGTGAAAGAGGTCAACAGAGCCCAGCAACCAATTTATTACATAAGTAAAGTCCTACTTGATGCGGAGACCAGGTACACTTTAGCATAACAGCTTGCCCTTACCTTAATAGTGGCGACACGAAAGCTTCGGCAATACTTTTAGTCTCATCCCATTGTGGTGTTCACTAATCAGCCTCTCAAACACATTCTTCAAAAACCAGGCGTCTCAGGCAGGTTACTAAAGTGGGCAATTGAACTTGGAGAGTTTGACATAGCATTCAAACCCCGTCTATCCATCAAAGTCCAAACTTTAGCGGATTTCATTGCAAAACTCACCCCAAGGCCTCGGGGGCCAGACGAGAGCTCGAGCACTATAATAGATGTTTGGCAAATTTTCGTGGATGGAGCATCAAACTCCTCGAGCTCGGGTGCCGAGGTCATCATCACTAGCCCGGACATGCTCATAGACATTCAGTGTACACTTAGGTTCGAATTCGAGGCAACCAATAATGAAGCAGAGTATGAGGCTGTCATCATAGCCATGGAACTTGCCATTAATCTTGAACTTGAAAACATCAAAATTTTTAGTGATTCCCAGTTGGTGGTTGGGCAGATTGACGGAACATTCAAGAAGAAAGATGAAAAATGAGCTTATACTGCTTAAAATTTCATGATCTCTGATGAAAATTGAAGAGTTGTGAAATTGTGAAGATTGCCTGAGCTGACAACTGCAAGGCAAATGCTTTATCAAGGCTGGTGTTTATGGGAATAGATGGACTTGACAGGATAGTACATATCAGATTTGTGACCAAGCCTAGCATCAATCCAGTCGTTGGGGTCATGGACATTGATCATGAACTGTCATGGATGGACCAAATTGTGGATTTCATAACAAATGATAATC